TATTATTATTTTATTATTTCATTTCAGCAGGATCACAGCTGTGATAGCATCATCATTACCACGCAGCCACCCCCAATGTATCCATTTGAAAAATCTGAACCACACAAACAGTGATGGCAAGCCTGTATTCCAGGTATAGACTGTCTAGCAGGTCTTGCACTACAGTCCAATAGGGTAGCATGACTACGCATCCCCTGTGATTTGTCCTCCTGCAGTTTGCCATTGGCCGTAGTGGGGGTTAAAGCTGGTGCACACAAAGCCAAGCAGCTGAGTTTCCCTGATGGCCAAGTGGCCCCCAAGGGGTTGTTCAAGCATGTTTCATAAAGAGAGATCCCCCGCATCTGAACAGATACTGTCTCCTGCCTGTGCAAACTGTCTGGTGACTCCTTGTCCCTTAGGGTGAAGACCTCTGGTGTCAGCGGCTCCCCTTCTAGTAGGAATTGGGTATGTTGGCAGGTTCCACTATCTTTAAAATGCGAAGTGAAGGGGAAAGGCTGGAAGCTGTTTCCAGTTGCAGATTTTCTGTGCAACAGCAGAGGATTCAGATGGGCTGTCGGTGTGTCTCAGTGACAGGGGCTGGAGGGCAGGCAGCGCTAGGTAGCTTGGGAACCCCTCCCCTAAATGTACCCATGCTCTACGCTGGGTTCTTGAAGCTACACAGAAATCTGAGATTCAAAAAGAGCTCAGAGTGTTAAAACCCCAATGCCCTGTGTCAGGATTTCTCAAGGGGCCATATTTGTATAGGTGCTGTGTGCTCTGGGCCAGATGCTGCCAGGGGCTGAGTGCGAGGAGACCCACAGAATATCACTGACTAGTTCTCCTATCACCTAAGGTTTATTTGCTGCTGGAAATTTAATCATCAAATGCATTTTCAAAGTTTTTATTCTCCAGGTTAATTGTGAGTGCAGGAATTCAGAGCTGATTGCTCTGCGGTGAAAGGTCTGATGAGGCATATTGCTATTTCCTGTCTGGCTGAGAGCTCTAGAATCTCTCTCATGTAGATAACCCTCAGAGTTACCGGCCTACCAGCATCTATTCCCCCCTCTGTTCTCCGAGTGCCACATGTCAGTCCTCGTACCCTTTCCTCTCATGGGGTGGAATCCCGCAATCCTCCCACCCTCAGACTATCCCCTGGGGTACCGCACACTGCAATTCGACTGTGCTTGCCCTGCCGGTTCGAGTGGGTTCGACACCTGCGGTTCTTCCCTTTAGGAGGATGTGAGCAGTCGTGAGATGAGTGACCAGCCAGCCTTCTTGAACCAGAATACTGTTTAATGTGAACAGTAGGAATGAAGAGTAACATGGAGGGATAAGAGGGTTTTCAAACAAAAGGCTTGACTCCCAGCCCTCCCTCTCTGACAGGGACCAGGCAGGCTGAGGGGTTTGAGTCTTCCCCAGTGTTGTCTGTGCCTGTCAGTCTGAAAAGTTTCTCAGGAACAGCAGCCCCACCTCTCTACAGACTCCCAGCACTAACAAAACAAACTGGGTAACCTGGCTTGAGCCTGGAAATAGGCTCTTCCCACGCTGTAGCTCCGGTGTTGTCTCTCAACCTCCCTGAAGTCCTTACTGAGAGATGTTTTTTTTTTCTTCTGCTGTTCCTTCCCTTCCTTCTTGTTTTCCAGCAGCCTGCTATTAAATATAGAAAAGCCATACTGGTTTCAAAAGCCATCTCAGTTAACCCAATATAGCTATAAGCAAACATCCCCAGAACTGGGTTTAACCTACACATTATTATGGCATCTCAGCTCCATGTCTGTCCCAATATCATTTTAAAGTGCTATGTATTTTAGGAATACAGGACAGAGACAGAGAAAGAGAGAGAGAGAACAATAGACTACTTTCCTGTGGGAAATGCAGTTCCATTTCCATGAATTCTCCTGCATTTGACTTTGAAAACCACTTCCTTCAAACCCTCACCGTGACTAACAGCTGCTGGGGTCACTATGTACTATAGCATGAGAGCTCAGGGAATGCTTTTTTTTTTCTATACTGACCCCGATGCCTGTTACCGCTCTGGATACAGACTACAGACTGACAGAACAGAAACTGCGGAGAACCAGTCAGCTATTGACCCAGGGACAGGGGAGCTACTAGACTTTTGTTTGTTGACAAGCGACTCAATGAGGGGTGAGATGCTGTGATCTTTTCAGGTTGTGAAGAAATCCCAATGACAGACGCTCCATTTTAAGTCCCACTCTAACCTGAGAAATCATCTCTGAAAGCAGATCAAAGGGGAAATAATTGGTGGACTAAATATGTGTACTAAAGTACAGATGTGTAAATGTTATATCAAAACTTAATACAAATATTTCAAACCAAACTTTCATGGCATGCATGTATATTGAAAGCTAACAGCAGAGTTATTGGAGTCACTACAGAAAGCAGCAGTGGTCACTTTACTACTTAATGGCTTTTGCTTTAGAAAATATTTCAGAAGTACTCCACATACTGTTTGAAATGGTTTATGCTGTGAACTCTTTGTTCTGTGAACAGTTGTATGATACTGTCCCTTGGTAACTGTCCAGAAGCTGTTTCTAGCACTTACATTCAGGGTCATGCACTCAATAACTCTGCAAGACTTGTCATAAATGAACAGAACTCTTGGTCTGTGTTTCAACATAGAATAGAGCTGCAGTTCAGGAAAGGGGAGTGTAATAGGGATTGTATGTAACTTAAATCCATCACCTCTCACAGGAGCATGGCAAAATAAATGTGCACACTCAGCTGGATATTAGTGCAACACCAGTGTCAGAAATATTCACCCATTTGTGATGTCAACCTCTCCTGTCATAAACATACAGCTAAGGGTAGTATAAAATCCCTCCTTTACCTGTAAGAGGTTCAGAAGCTCAAATAACCTGGTTGGCACCTGACCAAAAGGACCAATAAAGAAAGAAGAGGAGTACTTGTGGCACCTTAGAGACTAACCAATTTATTTGAGCATGAGCTTTCGTGAGCCACAGCTCACTTCACATCTGATGAAGTGAGCTGTGGCTCACGAAAGCTCATGCTCAAATAAATTGGTTAGTCTCTAAGGTGCCACAAGTACTCCTTTTCTTTTTGCGAATACAGACTAACACGGCTGTTCCTCTGAAACCTAAAGAAAGAAGATACTTTCAAATCTTGGGGGGGGGGAGGTTTTGTTTGTGCTCTCTTTGTTGTTCCTTCCCTGTCCGGACGGAGAGAGAGAACAAGCAGGTAAAAATCATCTCCTGTAAACATACCTGAAATGATACATCTAAAATTACTGAAATTGTAAGTAAAGACAAGGAAATGCTTTAGATTAAATTTTGTTTTAGTGTATGAATTTTCCCTATGCTAAGAGGGAGTTTTATTCCTGTTTTGTAACTGGAAAGCAGAGTCAGAGGGGAATCCTCTGTGTTTTAAATCTCTTTATTTACCCTGTAAAGTTACCTTCCATTCTGATTTTTGCAGGTGTGATTCTTTTACTTTTTTTTTAATTAAAATTCTTCTTTTAAGAACCTGATTGATATTTAGTGTACTAAAAACCCAGGGGTTTGGTCTGTTCTCACTTTGTAACCAGTTGGTTAGTATATTATTCTCAAGCCTCCCCTGGAAAAGGGATGAAGGGGCTTGGGGGAATATTTTGGGGAAACAAGGAATCCAAGTGGCCCTTTTTCCTGGATTTTTGTCTAAATCACTTGGTGGTAGCAGCAATACCGGCCAAGGACAAGGAAAGGATTTGTGCCTTGGGGAAGTTTTAACCTAAGCTGGTAGAAATAATATTAGGGGGTCTTTCATGTGGATCCCCACATCTGTACCCCAGAGTTCAGAGTGGAGAGGGAACCCTGACACCTCCCACACAGAGCTGAATTAACTGTTTGTGTTAGCTTGTAACTTGTCAGATATCTATAGAACCTTGCATGGGGTGAGGACGCAGGTTATGTGAGGAGGGGATAGCTCAGTGGTTTGAGCATTGGCCTGCTAAACCCAGCGTTGTGAGTTCAGTCCTTGAGGGGGAGATTTGGGGCTTGGTCCTGCTTTCAGCAGGGGGTTGGACTAGATGACCTCCTGAGGTCCATTCCAACCCTGATATTCTATGAAGAGAGGCTTGTAGGATGATTGAACTCCCTGGATTTAGTCAACGCTGGACAGGCAAAGCGCTTCTCTTGGAGGGATTTTTGGGTGTCAGAGTGTATCACCAGGAGCATTTGGTAGCAGAAAGATAATAGAGCCTGGTTCTGATTGAATTTACACATGCAAATCTGGAGTGGTGCAGTTGAAGTCAATGTTATTGAATTAAGAACCTGGCCCTAAGAATTTATCCCCAAAAACTGCAAAGAGGCAGTGGTATAACTTAAACTCTCAGGAGTGGAGAAAATAAAAAAAGATATCATGAGGCAATGAAACATGTATAAATACCCTGAATGCAGGACACATAAATACCATTTTCACCATGCACTTGCCAGTGTTTACATACATGTCATGATAGAATGGGCTACACTCAGAAGAGGAGGGCCAGACACGATGTCTGTGTCAAGATCACAATTATAAAATCACACAGTGCTCAAGTAGACTGCAGAACTCACAGTCACAAGATATCAAAGAGACCAAGAACTTAGCAGGATTCAAAGAGGGAATGGATGTTTATATGAGTAACCAGAATATCCAGTTAGAGTAGTGAGGATTTAAAAAAAAAAAAACTCTTGGAAGGGCTATAAACCTTCCTGATTTACACCACAAATATGTCTAACTAGTGTGTGTCAGGGGGAAAATTTCCCTTGGAGCAGGTTATCTCAGAGCTGCGTATTGCAGGGCTTCTTCCACCTTCCTCTGCAGCATCTGGAACTGGCTACTGGATACTGGGATAACAGGTTTGGCAGTGCCTATCTTCCTTTCAATGGTGTAAATCCAAGACTATGTTTTTGCTGATCTTCCTTGAGCTTCTGGGAGTCTCTAGACTTCACTGAGAGCAGAAAGATGTCTCATTAAATCTCATCTAGTCTCCTCTCCTTTTTCCTTTCAGGAAGTAAAGTTCAAAACTCCCTGGACCTGCCCAGTACATTATGTCAGCTGTCAATGACACCAAATTCAACTCTGTAGTGTTCTTTCTCACTGGGATACCTGGGCAGGAAGACATCCATCTCTGGATTTCTATCCCCTTCTGCTTCATGTATGCTATTTCAATAGTAGGAAATTCAGTCATTCTGTTCATTATAAAAACAGATCCAAGCCTCCACGAGCCTATGTACATTTTCCTTTCCATGTTGGCCATCGCAGACCTTGGCTTATTGATAGCCACCATGCCGACGATACTGGGAATATACTTGTTTAACTCTAGGGAGATCAGCCTGGATGCCTGTTTTACCCAGCTGCTCTTCATCCCCTCACTTCAATGCATTGAATCCTCCGTGCTCTTGTTGATGGCCTTTGACCGCTTCATCGCGATCTGTTACCCACTGAGATATGCTTCTATCTTAACCCTGCCAAGAATAGGCAAGATGGGACTGGTGTGTGTGTTAAGAGGAGTGGCTGTAACTCTCCCACTCCCCATTCTCCTGAAACGGTTCCGATACTGTCGAGACAATGTCGTCTCCCATTCGTACTGCGTGCACAATGAGGTCATGAAGATGGCTTGTTCAGATATCACAGTCAATAACATCTATGGCTTGTTTACTAAACTCTTAACGATGGGATTGGACTCGCTGCTTATCTTTCTCTCTTATGTGATGATCCTCAAAATAGTGCTAAGCATCACGTCCCACACAGAGTGTCTCAGGGCCCTGAACACCTGCGTCTCCCACCTCTGCGCCGTCCTGCTCTTCTACACACCAGCAATCGGATTGTCTGTGATACACAGATTCAGGGAGGGCTCTTCTCCCATGCCTGAGATTATCCTGGGCTACATCTCTATGCTGGTCCCACCCCTGATGAACCCAATTGTGTACAGTGTGAAAAGCAAACACCTTCGTGTGAGGATAATCAGAGTGTTCATCAAATGAAGGGTCAGTTCATCACCTGACCCCAGTGCTGGTGACATGGGAGACAAAAAAACATTGGCCACCTTTTCTATCCTTGTCAAGGTTCCTTCCCCACTCTGAACTGTAGGGTACAGATGTGGTGACCTGCATGAAAACCTCCTAAGCTTACTTTTACCAACTTAGGTTAAAACTTCCCCAAGGTACAAATTAATTTTACCCTTTCCCCTTGGATTTCCACTGCCACCACCAAACTTTATCTGGGTTTACTGGGAAATGTAGTTTGGACACGTAGTTTCCCCCCAAAATCCTCCCAAGCCTTGCACCCCACTTCCTGGGGAAGGTTTGGTAAAAATCCTCACCAATATGCATAGGTTACCACAGACCCAAACCCTTGGATCTGAGAACAATGAAACAGCATTCAGTTTTCTTACAAGAAGACTTTTAATAGAAGTAAAGGAATCACCTCTGTAAAATCAGGATGGTAGATACCTTACAGGGTAATTAGATTCAAAACATAGAGAATCCCTCTAGGCAAAACCTTAAGTTACAAAAAAGACACACAGACAGGAATAGTCATTCTATTCAGCCCAGCTATTTTCTCAGCCATTTCAAGAAATCATAATCTAACACATACCTAGCTAGATTACTTACTAAAAGTTCTAAGACTCCATTCCTGTTCTGTCCCTGGCCAAAGCATCATACAGACAGACACAGACCCTTTGATTTTCTCCCTCCTCCCAGCTTTTGAAAGTATCTTGTCTCCTCATTGGTCATTTTGGTCAGGTGCCAGCGAGGTTACCTTTAGCTTCTTAACCCTTTACAGGTGAGAGGATTTTTCCTCTGGCCAGGAGGGATTTTAAAGGGGTTTACCCTTCCCTTTATATTTATGACAATGCCAAACTGTGGAACAACAGATTTTACCTCTGTGTTTGGCACTGGTGCGACCACTATTGGGATCCTGTGTACAGATCTGGTGTGTTCAGTTCAAGAGGAATGTTGATGCACTGGAGAGGGGTTCAAAAAAGAGCTACAAGAATGATTAAAGGATTATCAAACCTGCCTTAGTGTGATAGACTCAAGAAGCTCAATCTCTTTATTTTAATGAAGAAAGGCAGGGGTAGCATTTCAGATTGGGGTGGGGGGACTCTAACCGTGATTCCAGGGGCTCCTTAGGCACCTGAAAACTGTAGGGTTTTTTTGCAGATAATAACTTAGAAATTAAGTCATAGGAGCACTGTATCTAACTCCTATATATAAAAAAGAGAATTAAATAAATATTAGACCCACTCAGCTTTAATACTAACATGTTCTCACATATTCTGTCAAGTGACTTAAGGGCCACTGGTTAGGTTTAAAATTTTAATGTATATTCTTAGTTTGTTACAAACTCTTGAATACAACAATTGTAGAAAAATCTAGTTTACTTTCTATCACTTGTTTGCAGTTAACTAAGCTTCGAATTGATCATTTAACTTTGGAAAACCCTATGAAGGCAAGGCCCCAGGGCTTTATACTGCACCTGCCTGGGGCTCTGGGGATGTTACCCCACTACAAATAATAGACTAGAAAGTGACCTTAAGCAGCAGGGAAACTGACACTTTCAAGACACTTTCACAACATTGCCAATCCCAAATGTTCAAAACTCATGAATCCGGCACGCCACAAAGTATGAGATTGGCTTTATAATCATGAGATTGTGTAAAAATAACAGATTTGGAGTTCTTTTTATTTGCCTTCTGCTTTTTGAGTGTTTAGGGTGCACTAGGGTCACATTTTGACGCTTTCTCCACAGCCACGCGGACTAGAAACTTCATTTTTCTTGAAGAATGAAGACTGAAATCATCACATCTCCACTTGTCTCTAGGAGCTGGGGCTCTAAGGAAAACACTAATTATCATGAGACTCGTGACAAAATCATGAGAGTTGGCAACATTGCTTTCACTTCTGATTAAAGCCTAGTTACTTTCTAGAAGGCTCTTAAACACAACACTACAGTGACTGAGTTGCAGTTCTCACAGGAGAATATTTAAAAGCAGACAAGAAGAAAATGCCACATTTTAAAGTTGAGAAAAAAATTGAGACTTTTTGAGGTATGTCAGGGCCACTGCAGGCAAGAAAGGAAAATAAACACGCCCAGGAGCTCTAGACAGCTCTTCCTCTTGAAAGAAAGTTGGAGGGTCAAATCTTTTAGTCCTTAATCCAGTAAAACTTCTATTACTATCAGTGCCTTCACTCATAGAGGTTAACATGTGCTTAATAACTATATGCTTCATACTTAAGTAGCTGAGCCATCTTATCCAGGGCTACACATTTTACACACATTGGCTCAGGGACTACATTTTCTGGCACACTCTGGACAGTGCTGAGCACAAAGATGGTACCCAATGAATAATGCAAATCATACCAATAATCTTCGACTTTATGGACTCTGTGGATGCAATTTCTGTTCTCTGCTCTGGAATTGGCCTGAATGCAGCTGAATCCCTAAGAATTTGAGGCATAAACACATCGGATACTTATATGACACTCTCTGATTCCTTCCTTTTCTTGAACTCAGAACAAAAAATGACAAAACAAAATGGTTTTCAGTTAAAATGTAAAATTCCACAGCAGCCATTGCTCTACAACCCAGAACCTGCCACCCCTTGGGAGTTAAGTGAGCTCTTCTTAGCTGACTCTCATTCTCCATCCTTCCTGACCTCTGTGCTGCTTTTCATGCTGCCAACCACGACATCCATCCCAACCTCCTGGGACCATTTTCTGGCATCTCAGAGAACTGGCCACCTTGATTTGGCTCCCATCTACCTGAGTTCTCTTTTTTGCAGTATGCAGCTGTCATAAAAATAAAGGGAAGGGTAAACCCCTTTGAAATCCCTCCTGGCCAGGGGAAAGCTCCTCTCACTTGTAAAGGGTTAAGAAGCTTTAGGTAACCTCGCTGGCACCTGACCAAAATGACCAATGAGGAGACAAGATACTTTCAAAAGCTGGGAGGAGGGAGAGGAACAAAGGGTCTGTGTGTCTGTCTATATGCTGGTTTCTGCCGGGGATAGACCAGGAATGGAGTCTTAGAACTTTTAGTAAGTAATCTAGCTAGGTATGTGTTAGATTATGATTTCTTTAAATGGCGGAGAAAAGAATTGTGCTGAATAGAATAACTATTTCTGTCTGTGTATCTTTTTTGTAACTTAAGGTTTTGCCTAGAGGGGTTCTCTATGTTTTTGAATCTAATTACCCTGTAAGATATCTACCATCCTGATTTTACAGGGGGGGTTTCTTTATTTCTATTTACTTCTATTTTTATTAAAAGTCTTCTTGTAAGAAAACTGAATGCTTTTTCATTGTTCTCAGATCCAAGGGTTTGGGTCTGTGGTCACCTATGCAAATTGGTGAGGCTTTTTTTATCCAACATTTCCCAGGAAAGGGGGGGTGCAAGTGTTGGGAGGATTGTTCATTGTTCTTAAGATCCAAGGGTCTGGGTCTGTAGTCATCTAGGCAAATTGGTGAGGCTTTTTACCAAACCTTGTCCAGGAAGTGGGGTGCAAGGTTTTGGGAAGTATTTTGGGGGGAAAGACGCGTCCAAACAGCTCTTCCTCAGTAACCAGTATTAGTTTGGTGGTGGTAGCGGCCAATCCAAGGACAACGGGTGGAATATTTTGTACCTTGGGGAAGTTTTGACCTAAGCTGGTAAAGATAAGCTTAGGAGGTTTTTCATGCAGGTCCCCACATCTGTACCCTAGAGTTCAGAGTGGGGGAGGAACCTTGACAGCAGCAGAGACATAGGCTGGTCTGTTGGATAGGGACCTAGCCCTGAAAGACGTGGGTACTACTCCCCCTTGAGCTTCCTGTATGACCTCAGGCCAGTGCCTTAAAAACAGAGCTTCCAAACCTTTTAGGCACCCATAGATTCAGCTAGACATCTAATGGGGTTTACAAAGCACCTGACCTTCTAGGCACTTTTAAAAATCCCACTAGTTACCTAAATGCCTTTGAAAATCTGGCCCTTAGTCTCTGGGTGCCTCAATGCCCCATCTGTAAAATGGGAATAACAGCACTGCTCTATGTCATTGAGGCGCTGTGAAGAGAAATTGGTTAGACATTGTGAGGGGCTCAGATAGGACAGTGATGGGGCCACATAAGTACCACAGGTATAGTGGGAACTTCTCTATCCCACTGCTATCCCTTTCCTTGCTTTTGGCCCGTTCTTTCCACCTATGCCCCCAAAGCTCCCCCTTTTCCGAAAGTAACCTTGGCTTAGAGGGCTTTGCTGTATTTTTTCTGAGTCCTTTATATTCTCTCTCAAACAACCCCTCCCCCCTCCACAGCGGAAATCTTGTTTTACAGGCAGAACTTCCAGATCCTTAATTTAATTACAGGTTTCAGAGTAGCAGCCGTGTTAGTCTGTATTCACAAAAAGAAATGGAGTACTTGTGGCACCAATTGGTTAGTCTCTAAGGTGCCACAAGTACTCCTTTAATTTAGTTACCAGCCCTTTCTGATCTTAATCACCCTGACTCTGTTTGTAAACAAAATACTGACTTCCTGCCAAGGTTCCCTCATTTTTTTTCATCCATGTGCAGAATAAATATTGTTACGTGTGCAGAGGTATGGGTGGATGTGTGCCACCAATAGAAACAAAAAACCTAGATATAATATATGTGACGCACTCTATATGATTTTATAAAAATATGCTAATGAGTGTGAATATGATGTAACTGGAATATGCTTCATGCAAAAGGTCTCTTGTGAGGTATCATTACAAAGCTTATAATCTACTGAGTGTGGTCATCCTATTTGTATAAATGTATCACTCTTATATCTTATATATTTTTTTTAAATTACCATAGGGATAATTACTCCAGCCCAGACAGGTTAGGCATTTTAGAATTCACTACTCAAAGAATTAAATTTAAGCGTAAGAGAGAAATAAAAATTATGAATTGTATTGACTAGTCAGAAAACTAAAATAACACACCTTGAAAGAATAAAATTACAGAGACTATATGTGCATTGCAGGAAGTAAC